CTGAGAGATTTTTTGTCAATATTGCAAACCCCTAATTTGTTATTTAATTTATATAATAATTTATTGATAATAATTCTTTAAATGAATGTAATGATTAATACTTTCGACCTTTTAAAAATGGTTTAAAGGCTGAAATGTAAAGTTTATCATTTTATAAAACTTTTAGTTTTTTTGTGAAAACTTGTATATGAATAAAGTCAACATGATTACAAATGTGATATTGATTTTATACAACAGTTCAATAAACAAGAAGTTAAGAGACTTAAGTTTTAGACACCGTATTTCCAGCTTTTGCTCTATTTTGCCAACAAAAAGCTGCGCTGTTTTGCGTCTCTGAGCAACATGATGGTGTTTCGTTCCTGAATGAATCAACCGTTTAAATGATTTGGTTCAATCGCAATGACTCACTTATTAAAAGTGACTTGCTGCCACCTACTGATGGTTTTAATTTCACATTTAAAGTATCTTTTCATTTTTTTTAAAATAATTTCAAACATCAGTTTTCAATGTTTTATGTTTAAAATATCAAAACATTATTCATGGATTTGTAACTGCAGGTTAAAGTATTCCATGTCCCTCTGAGCTGCATTACACAGTGTGTAAATACATCTAAATGCCACATAAGATGCAGCTTTTGTGTTTCCTCTGTATTGCAAAGATACATTTTGTTGATACTGATTTCATTTGCTTGGTAACAGTCCAAATGCAAGAATTTGACTCAAAAGTTGTTGCACACTTTTAGAGAACAATGGCTTAAAGTTAAAAATGCCCATAAAACTTATTGGAAAAAATTAATTTCTATTGGTACTATAGACATTGCCCTACCCTGCTCATATGGTATTAATTTTATTTGTGCAGGTCTTAAAAAACGTCTTAAAGTCTTAAATTTGCACTTAAAAAATCCTGCAGAAACCCTGTTTAAACTAATCCAGAAAATTAAGCCTCCTGAATATTCATAAATGTCTGTAAACAAGTGATTATCCAGCTTTCCCAGTATGTTCTGGGGAACAAGGAATGTTTAAGAGTGTTATCATGGAGTTTGTTTAGCCTATTTAATGATTTCATGCACGATAAACAATATATTTCACATACAGAGATAGAAACAATAGAGGAACAACTCCGTGATATCCAATTTAGATCTCTGAGAAAACTCCTCAGCACTAATGTACTGATAAACATCCTCCGGAAAGGAGGCCATTGATTTTGTGACCAGTACAGCAATTGAGCTGATCTCTCTCTCTCTCTCTCTCTGTGTCCTTTCTGTTACAGGCTAAAAGCGCTGGTTTCGACTGGGGGCAGAAATGTACAAGCAGCCTGTGACTGGTGAGTGTGCACACCCACACACGTTCACCGTGACCCTTGTCGTTTTTGACAGCCATTCATTTCAGCTGAACCGTGCTGAGCCACAGACACTCTTTAAACTTTGAAATGATAATATGTTGCATTTTAACTTGAGCACAAACACACACTGAAAGAAACATTACACTATGAGGTGGGCTCACATATAATCTGAAACTCAGCTTTGTGTGCACTTCACCTTTAATGGTTTACTGCTGCCCTCTGCTGTCAGGGAGTCAGAAGCATTTTATCATTGATATGTTCTTACTTTAAAAATAAAATTAAACTAACCATGTTGTTCATTTCAGTCCCAAACAAAAAGTGTACCTACTGCTCACTTATTTATAATGCCTTATTGAACATGGCCTGAATGTCTATTTTGCAGGTTGTTCTCCCATGTGGATGACCCGTTCCTGGATGATCCTTTACCCAGGGAGTATGTGCTGTACCTGAAACCCAGCGGTCCCCTCCTCAACCAGCTCTCCAACTTCTGGCAGCAGAGTCGCATTACATGTGGCAAGAACAAAGCCCACAACATCTTCCCTCACATAACCCTCTGCCAGTTCTTCATGGTCAGAGCACTTCATCAACATATCCAAACATGTGTCTTTATTAGATCTGTTATTTCGTGTTGTTTTACTCAATACCACTTTTTGAATGCTTTTTTTTTTTTTTTTTACAGATTAGGCAAATATATTTTTTTTTGTGGCACAGCCCCTTAGAAACTATAAAAAGTTTACATGTATAGTCGGCACTGAAAGCCTTGTGGTTAGTGCGTTGACATATAGCGCAACTGCGCTCACGGTGGCCTGAGTTCGATTCCCGCCTCAAGGTCCTTTGCTGATCCCGCTCCCTTCTCTCCACCCAAAGCTTTCCTGTCAGCTATCCACTGTCCTGTCCCAATAAAGCAGGGCTGCCCAAACTCGGTCCTGGAGGGCCGGTGTCCTGCAGAGTTTAGCTCCAACTTGCCTCAACACACCTGCCTTCAAGTTTCTAGTATGCCTAGTAAGAGCTTGATTAGCTGGTTCAGGTGCGTTTAATTGGGGTTGGAGCTAAACTCTTCAGGACACCGGCTCCTCAAACAGGACGTAGTTTGGACACCCCTGCAATAAAGGCATGAAATGCCCATAAATATAACTTAAAAAAAGTTTACATGTATAAATTTACATAATAATGTAGCAGATGCTTTTGTCCAAAGCAACTTAAAAATAAGGAAAAACACAAACATTTTAACATAACTGAAGCAAACAGTATTAGCTGTGAATATACAACAGGCACTTTAATAGAAAATTGAAAATAACTTTGAATGTCTTTTGAATAATGAAAACAGCTTTAATTTAGTTCTGTCATTTTTCATTGCTGAATAACAAAGTTCATGCACACAATGTTGCAAAGGATACAACAAACCATTTTGATTACAAAAAATGTACATGCTGTCTTCTGAAGTGATACAACGAACAGATCCAAATTCAAGTAATTATTTATTGATAATCTCCCCCAGCATTCAACGCTGCCAGTTATGTTCTTACATGTTATCTGTATGATATACACCACCATTCAAAAGTTTGCGGTCGTTTTATTTTTCACAAGTCTCTTATGCTTACCAAGGCTGCATTTATTATCAGTTGTTAAAAACAGTAATGCTGTGAAATATTATTACAACTTAAAATAACAGTTTTCTATTTTAATATATTTTAAAATGTAATTAATTCCTGTGGTGGCAAAGCTGAATTTATAGCAGCCATTACTCCAGGTTCAGTGTCACATGATCTTTCAGAAATCACTCTAATATGCTGATTTAGTGCTCAAGAAACATTTCTTACTATCAGTGTTAAAAAAAAAAAACAGTTGTTCTGCTTATTATTTTTGTGGAATTCGCACTACTTTTTTTCAGGAATGTTTTTAGAAAGTTCAAAAGAACAGCACTTATTTGCAATAGAAATCTTTTGTAACATTAGGAATTTATTTACTGTGTTAATTTCTTCCAAAAAACGTTTTTGAAATGTGTATGAATTTTTGAATGGTAGTGTATGTTCTTTGTTGTTGATAGCATAACTGTAAGACTGTATCTCTCTCTCTGTCACTGTAGTGTGCCGATAGTAAGGTAGATGTCCTCTGTGAAGCTCTGCAGGCAGTGGTGGGTCAGTGGAGAGGTCGTTTCCCCTCCCCACTGCCCCTGGAGTTTTACTCATCCTCAAACTTCATCGGCCTCTTTGTGGAAGAGAAGGTGGCCGAGGTGATCAAGAGCTTTGCTGCAGACTTTGCTACTGAGGCGGCTTCCAAAGCAGGTGTGTGTGTGTTTGCTTGTTTGTTATTGCTATGCCTGCCTATAACTGATGATGACACAGTGGAGCAATAGTCTTAATTTTCTGCCTTTGCAGCTCCCTTCCTACCTCTTTCAATTCAATTTTAGTGTGCTTTACTGGCATGGAAGAAAACAGGCATTTGTATTGCCAAAAAGGTTAATTCAATGTAAAATTTAAAAAAAAAGTTCTCTCTCTCTCTCCAGATGTTCATGTGGAGCCCCATAAGAAGCAGCTTCATGTAACTCTGGCCTACCACTTCCAATCCAACCATCTTGCATCATTAGAACAACTTGCCAAAGGTGTAGACATAACATTGGGCTGTGATTGGCAGGCTGTGCTTTTGTCACGGGACATCCGATTTGCCAATCATGAGGTAGTCAAATTGTTGTCATTCATTGTTTTTTTTGTATTTTTTATCTAGCATCCTTAATATTATAGTGTTTTGTTTTAAGTAATTATTGTCAGGTCATTTATCATAATTTAGTATATAATTTACCATTTTTATACTAAATATTTGCTATCGAAAGTCCAAATAAAATATACCAATGTATCACTACTTTGATTCATCTGTATCCGTGCAATTATTTTAATAATTTCCAAATTATAAATAAGATGGATACACTTTGTATTAATACACTTAGTATTAAGTATTAACCTGTTGTATTTACTATGGATGATTGAATATATTTAATTAAAATGCTCTTTTTGTTAATGCTGATAGATTACTAGTGAATTCTGTTATCATATACTGACTTTTTGGCTTTGGTGGCTTTGTAACTTTCTATCTTTCTGTTTTAAGACCTTGCGGGTGATGTACCCCTATGTGCCTCAGAATGATGATGAACTGGAGCTGGTGCCCAGTGACTTCATCTTCATGTCATCTACAGAACAGGCCACGGCCAGTGAGGGCTGGGTCTATGGGACCTCGATGAGCACAGGGTTATCAGGGCTACTGCCAGAAAACTACGTCAATAGGGCAGACGAGTGTGATACTTGGGTCTTACATGGGTAAGATGGGTCAAGAAGTAACTAAAGCTGCTTGTACACTATGTTCAAATGTTTGGGGTCAGTTTTTTTTAATTTTTTTTAACGAAATTAATTATTTTATTCAGCAAGGATTCATTAAATTGATCAAAAGTGACAGTAAAGACATTTGTAATGTTACAAAAGATTTATATTTCAAATTCATTCTGTTCTTTTGACATTTCTATTTATCAAAGAATCCAGAAAAATGCATTATAGTTTAAAAAAAAATGTATGCAGTACGGCTGTTTTCAATATGGAAAATAACAGGAATAATTTTTAAAGGATAATGTGACACTGAAGACTGGAGTAATGGTTGCTGAACATTTAGCTTTTGCCATAACAGGAATAAGTTAATAAGTTAATAATATTTCAAAATATTATTGGTTTTATTGTATTTTTGATCAAATAAATGGATCCTTGGTGAGCTTCTTTGGAAAAACTTGATCAGTAGTGTAGTGTCAAACTCTTATGGGTCTGTGGTGAAGGTATGTTAGAACTAAAAGCAGTAACTAACATATTTAAATCTCTTCATCTCTTTACCTCTTGTTTTAGGTCTTTGTCTTTCCTTAATGTAACCCCCCCAACCAATATCAGGGGTGCAATGGGTGGGATTTTTCTTGACCCACACTTGGATGGTCGTCTCTTTGATGACCCCATGCCAGTGGATCCCAACAGTCTGAGCGTTATATGTCAACCTATGCAGGTAAAACTCTAGAAGGGGAATCTTGTGTTGATGCGACAGAATGTGAAAGCTTTTTTTAGGTATAAAGTTTTATTCCAATATTTATGATTTGTTTTAGATCCTACGCCCCAATCAGTCTCGATTGCCTAAGAGAACGTTGTTTGTGTGTCGCCATGGTGAGAGAATGGATGTAGTGTTTGGGAAACACTGGATCACTCAGTGCTTTGATGCCAAAGGTCTGAGCTCAGCTTTCCAAATCAGTTCTTTAACCTCTTTGCAGTTGTTCCCATGACCAGGTCAAATCTGGAATTATTGGGAGTTTGAAAATTGAACACTTATATTAAGCTCTAAAATATTTAATCAGCTATATATCAAAAAAGTAGCAACTGTATCCAGCAATCAGAGAAAGTCATGGGAATTTATTGGCCAAAATGTGTGAGAACCCTGTTAATATCCTGATGTGTGCTCATTTGTTTATATTTCCTCTATCTTAAACAGGTCGGTATGTGCGGTCAAACCTCAATATGCCACTGAGTCTCCCAGCGAGGATTGGGGGGTACAGGGACTATGATAAGGACTGTCCTATCACTGTGTTCGGTTCCACACAGGCTCGTCTAGTCGGTCTGTATCTCATTACTGTTAAATCCACATTAAAGTGATAGCTCGCCCAAAAAATGAAAATTCTGTCATCATTAACTCACCCTCTACTTGTTCCAAACCTGTATGAGTTTCTTTCTTCTGCTGAACACAAAAGAAGATATTTTGAAAAATGTTGGTAACCATTGACTTCCCTAGTATTTTTTTTTCCCATGCCATGGAACTCAGTGGCTACCTTCAACTGTTTGGTTAACAAAATTCTACAGAATATCTTCACTTGTGTTCAACAGTTGAAATAATTTCATTCAGGTTTGCAACAATTTGAGGGTGAGTAAATGATGGCAACATTTTCATTTTGGGGAGAACTATCCCTTCAAGAGCAAGATCACATTAATTCCTCTTAGTTTTACATAATAATGCCATTAAGAAGTGTGTCATTTCTGCTTTGCTATTGGCCCTAGCATGTGTTTACTTTGTGTAATTTGTTTTACAGGGGAGGCTCTCCTGGAAAGTCATACCGTGGTAGACTTTGTATACTGTTCTCCTTCTCTGCGCTGCGTGCAAACAGCTTATAATATCCTCAAAGGTAAAACAGCACCTCCTTTACTCTTTTATCTTTCTTCTGTTCATTCACAAATCAGTTTTTACTGCATTAGCCATGCCCATTTACACCCCTAAATCAATTACTTCCCATGTGCCTCTTTTTCCATTATGGATTGTATGTCTCAGGTCTTCAAAAGGATGGGAAGACTAAGATCAGAGTTGAGCCAGGTTTGTTTGAGTGGACTAAATGGGTGTCGGGAACCTCATTACCCGCCTGGATCCCTCCTGCAGACCTGGCGGCTGCTAACATATGTGTGGATACAACATACAGGTATTTTATTAGCCGTTCAATGAACTATACATCCTTTTTGCTACACTTTTAGATTGTAATGTTTCTGAATGATAGCATTATTTATTGTTTACGATATTGTTTTATGTCTCCTTTTGATTTCATGAATATCTTCTTGCGGTGAAAGGAATTATGAATTATTATTAAGTCATCTTGTTCCCCTCTAGACCTCATATACCCATCAGTAAACTGGCCGTGTCAGAGTCCTATGAAACATACATCAGTCGCAGCTTCCAAGTGACGCGTGAAATACTGTCAGAGTGCAATAATCTGGGTAGGTCATGAGCGGGTACTTATTTTTTTTGTCTGAATCTATACCGATTTAAAGGTTTTATGCTTTAAGACATTTTATGTTTACCAAGTTTCCATGTGGTGTCCAACAGGAAATACAGTGCTGATTGTGGCCCATGCTTCCTCTCTGGAGGCTTGTACGAGGCAGATACAGGGTCTGACCCCACAGAACTCTAAAGACTTTGTGCAAGTGGTCAGAAAGGTCAGATCTCTTCAGATCTCAGATGTCGATTTTTTCCAAATGTTTTATTTCTAGAATTGTTTATATTTATATTTATATATATAAATAAATATATTAGTGTGAATATTGACTAGTTTAATTATATACATAAAGATTCTTATATGATATTTAATTTATTAAATTTTTACATTTGAAATAATTGCTCATAAGAAAATTATTTTTTTCAAGAAATTAATGCTTTTTATTCAGCAAAGACGCATTAAATTGGTCAAAAGTAACAGTAAAGACTTTTACATTGTTACAAAAGATTTCTGTTTCAAATAAATGCTGTTCTTTTGAACTTTCTATTCTTTCATCGAAGAACAAAATGTAACAAATCTAACACAATAACAAGAAACACAGACGTTTTCAACATTGATAAATAAGACATTTTTCTTGATCAGCAAATCAGCATATCAGAATGATTTCTGAAGAATCATGTGGCATTGAAAACTGGAGTAATTGCTGCTGAAAATTCAGCTTTGTCATCACAGGAATAAATTACATTTTAAAAATATTAAAAAAAGAAAACCAGTGTATTTTTTGTTCAATTAATTTTATTAAATTAATAATATTTTACAATATTGCTGTATTTTTGACTACATAAAAGCAGCCTCGGTGAGCCCAAGACATTCACAAAAACAAAAAATCTTACAAACCCAAAACCTTTTGTATAGTAGTATATATTTATGTCTTTATTTCAGTCTTTTTATGTTATATGTGATATTTGATATATACAATCTACTGTAGATACTCTCTCCCTTCCATTTTCTCTCGCACAGATACCTTACTTAGGCTTTTGTGCTTGTGAGGAGATGGGCGAGACGGGTGTTTGGCAGCTTGTGGATCCACCCATCCTGCCGCTCACGCATGGACCCAATCACAGCTTTAACTGGAGAGAAGCGCTGCTGCAGGACTGAGGAGGCTCTGCAACTTTTACTCTCACTGCTCCTCCTCCAAAGGCAACAGAAACGTGCTTACAAGTCACATCATCACAGACCTGCATTATAGCACTATAAAAGGCTCATGCTTCCATAGCCACGTTCTCTTGCACTGCTGCAGTACACCTCATTGACCCTGTCTTAATATATAAAGCATAAGAGCAGTAATATTTGCGGTAGATTTCCATAATGTGCTCAAACACCATTTGCCGGCCTATAGACAAGCTGCAGCAGAACACTTGCTTCCAACTGTAGCCCAGACGAAACTGAGATCTGAGAGCTTCAAAGACGTACATCAAACACAGGATATAATACACGACGATAAACTCAGGTTTCCTGCCTCAGTGAGGAGGAAATAGTGTGCAAAGTTGATGAGTCATCATCCAACACTTCCAAAATGGATGCCGCTGGACTCGAGTTGGGTCTCCGAACCCTTTGTAAACTCCATTTTCCTAGACTCTGTAGGGGAACAAGACTTCTCCCTATTACACTGTGAATCAAATAGACATGCACAACCTACCGCATCAAGATTTCCCAATTACACCTGCTAAAAGCCCACTCACCAACTCATGAAAGCACAAGAGTATAATCTGGCAATCAGATAGATTGAGATGAAGCAGCATTAAAGTTGTTTAGAAGTGGATTTGGTGGACAGCACATTCGTCCTGTGCCTTGCTGTCATGCTGCTACTGTTAAACACTTTGCAACTATAGGACATTTTGGGAGGACTGTTAGTTAGGGCTTATTTGGAGACAGTATTTAAAGATGTACTGTCACACTTTTCGCATGTAGGGTCAATTTTGAAAGGGGGAGATGATAAACCCAGTAAGGACGTCATCAAACTTTCAAAAGCAGTGCCACAAATGGTTACAACTTCATAAGCAGCAGCTTAAATAATGTTATGTGCAGCTGTTACGCTGAACAGCGAGCTTTACTTTCTGAGCACTTGAAATATCAAACCAAACAGGAAAGAATGCTTCAACAATGTAAAGAATTGTACATTAATGCATAACGTGTCTGTATATACTAAGTAACATAGTAAAATCCATTTGATGTGTTTCACCTTTAAATGGAAAAAGTATAATTGCATTTATTTATGTATTCATAAGATAGTTTTAAAGAGAATATGTTGGTGCTTCAGGTTTTTGTTTGTTATTTCCTGTTGTTGGAATAGAGAAATCAAGCCATAGCAAATGATGAAATCACTATATAATGCAGAGTTTTTCTCCACTCCGAGGACTTACATAAGCATATCTGTTACGATTACTGTAATATGCCATCTGTGTTCCCTGAACTTCATAACTATTTTAGCCCACCTATGGTTTGCCATTTAATAATGATAAGGAGGAGGCATGCATAATGAGATGTGCAATGCACTACACAAGCAAAAGAGGTTTATCGGATTTTTTATTTTTTTTTGCTTTAGTTTTCAATGTGTGCTCATCTAGTGCATTTACTTAATGATAAATGTAGATGTTAGACTCGACCAAACATGCCAATGATGTGCGAACAATGCCATAATATGAATAATCTTATGAAGTTGCTATTTTTACTTTTTTGTTTTGCGTTTAAGAGTTGATCTCTTGCCTTAATGGGTCGTGTCAGGGGATGAAAGGGATAGTTTACCCAAAATGCCTCTCTTTTTTTTTTTCTGACCAAATTTCTTTATTGCATTTCAAACATACAAAATAGATAATGAAACATCCAAAATGAACAAATATGTAAAAGGAACAGATACACCAGATCAGTTGTCGCATCCATTAAAAAAAGTCTAATGCATTTTCTTTATACGGTCTAATTTAATGAAAGAAAAAAATTTCCAGGCATCAATAGTAGCTGGTTTAGCCATGTTAAGTTGTGGATTCAACGTTGACAATTTTAAGGAGGGAATGTATCCAATATGTTTTTGTACATATATGTGGTATAAACCTATTTTGAATATATTTGGGCCACTCTTTTCAATATACTTAAAACTTAATTGAAAACTTGTGTACGTGCATATGACTACTAGTACTATCACCTTTTTTAATTTTGAAAATTTTCAATTAATCAAAAAAGTTCATAGAAATGACCTCAACTTAATGATCCAGCTGCATTTATAGTTAACAGCCCACTCAAAGGGAAGAAATACACAAAACCATCATGTGACATCAGAAGAGTTGAAATAATGCACACTCCTATTTTATGATAATTTTATAGTGCTTGTGCATCAAGTCACCATTCATTGTAATTGCTTTCTGCTTTTGTGTTCCATGGTCTGGACCAACATTAGTGTGAGTAAATTATGAATTTTTTTAGTTTTGGGTGAACTATCCTTTTCAAACATCTCAAAGTACAGGGAGTCTAAGACAAATCTGTCATTAATTTGGCATTTTCCAGCTCAACAGTAACATAACCTTCTAAATGCTTACTCATGAATTTAAACGAGACTTTTATCTCCGCATAGATGAATTTATATAGAGATTTCTAATTAGCCAAGCCAGTGTAAGTGTGTGTGTGTGTGGGTGTGGTTGAGTGTTTGTTCATGTGCTGGAAGATGAAAATGCTGGTCTCCTATAAAAATAATTACCTTATTAAATCGCCCTTGTCTGCCATTACAACATGTCTACCATGAATAGATAAATCCTTGATCTTCCAAATATGGCAAACCACCCCATCATGTGTATTACCACAGAGAGTTGAACGAGTACAGCTTGACAAAAGCTGATCCATAACTGTGTTTGATTCTCTGAGAGGTAATATTGTCACTGTATGTTTTCAGAAGCATGCTATGTGTGCAACGTCTTCTGATTGTTTGAAAAGGAATGAGGGTGTAATATGAGCCAAAGTGCTTCATTGATTTTTTTTTCAGAGGCAGAATGAATTATTTTTTAATGTGTATACTTTAAACATATTCTGACCAACAATTCCCATTTTGCCCATTAGGGTTTGTCTTTGTCCTGATGCTCTTCAGAATCATGAGATGTTTTATATACGTTTACTGATCAGTGACTGAGGAAATCAATGAATATACAAAATCCAAATACAAAATAGTACGAAATACAGATTGCTATTTTAGCTATTGTTATTAATTATGGTTTGGTCCTCCCTGAAATGAGTCGTTTTTAGTTTATATATGATTTTATGCTTTCATTCAGGTCATCTGATTTATTTAAAGTTATTCAAGTTTTACTTGGGGGCATTTTAGCAGTTTGAAAATGATCCTTGCATGCTCAAGAAGAAAAAGCAAATGTTACCCCTCTATACTGAAAAGTTGTAGCCTACATGAAATGACTGCACAAAACATACATTATAGTTCAGTGCTCAAAAAAATTGAATAGAGATTCCAAAAGCATATATGGGACATTCCATTACGAAGCTACCCTTTAAGTATGTTGTTGACATTTATTTTAAGACTTATTCTCATGCGGAACATTAGTAAAGCATGTTTGCAAATAAATCATTTGTCATCCTGCAGAGTTCTTTCTGTGATATTTGTCATACTTTACACTGCAATATGGTTACTGCAATGAAATTAGGCTACAAAAATAATAGTAACAAATAAAATGATCGTGTTATTGCTTTTGAAATCACTAAAGGTCTCTATACAAGTATAGCTTGTTATTAAAGAGTACTTGTTCTTAAGGGTGGGTTGGACCCTGCAGGCATAGCCTAATCATTTTTAAATCTAAAGATTATGATTTTTAAATAAATTCGTTTATCAGTGTATCATATTATTTTGATTATTTATTATTATTCATTTATCAATATACCATAGTATTTTGATTAGGTTACGTTTTCAATCACAGATCACCTATTTGAGTTAAAGATGTGCTCGTAGCTGATTGGTCCAATATCGTTTAAAAAAGTTCCTCCGATTGTTTCTCTCCCTCCAAATTAATGTGTGCTTTATTTTCGTTATAATAAGCATATTAATGTGAAAATGTGTTTACATTTGTCATATTTTTGTTCCAAAATGATCTTTTGATTTTCAAAGGAAAAATATATCGCGCGGACTTTAACACGCGATTGGCTGTTCACTGCAAACTTCATCTTGTGAAGTAATCGCGATTTCACTTTTAGCGAAAAACCAATCGCAGTCAGCTTCTGGAATCAGTAACTGACGCTTGAAACATAAAATGTGTCAACGAAACAATAACACGACAAGTAGGTGCATTTATAAAACGAGTCCATCATTGTGGTCCATAACATTGACAAGTCCGGAGTTGAACTATATTAGAGGAAGTTGAGGAAAAGTTATGACGGTTTGCCATCGACTGATTGACGGATAGCATCCGAATATTTATTTCTACCACCAAACAGGTAAATCCTACTTTTCAGATAATGTGCTACAATATACACATAACGTTACACATAATGAACCCATTGTTTGAATGATGCTGTTGTGTCAAGTTCTTATAAAGATAAGCACATAACCATGTCGATATTGTATACAATCAGTAATAACAGTTCCGCTTCAGAATAAAGAAAGCAAGCTTATGAATGTGAAATGCATTAATGTTGAATTATGTTGCTGCATTATATTTGCACACCGTGTCATTTGCACTGAGCTTAACTGTGCTACTTTTTCTATGCCTACCTTTGCACTTTGACTAAGATGTTGCCTTTAATAATAATAATAATAATAGCTAATAATAACAAAAAGGCTTGAGCAGCAGGTTGTTGCAGTCAATGTGATTTCTCAAGATTTGGACTAATGTGCTCCAAGGATCTCTGAAAGGGATAGTTCACCCAAGTAGTCTTATGGACTAGCTACTTTTATTATACTTTTTGCTTTTTTGGGGGGTGTCTTCATGTCGATTTTGGACCTTGACCGAAGCGGTTGTATCGAACAACCTGCGTGAAAATTCTTTAAATACTTTTATTTTTGAGTTTCATATGGAATAAATAAATAAATAAGGTTTTAAAGAATGACGGATTTTTCACGATATTTTCTATTTTATAAACTATTCCTTTACTACAGCAGATGCATGACATACTCTAGTAGCCACTAGATGGCATGCAGTGACTCCAGTTTCTGTGCTGCCTGAATGTATAGAATACCAATAGAATGTGATGGATGCCTGATTTCTTCTGCAAGTTTTTTTTAATTAATTAATTAATTAATTATGAATGAATTAGTCAAAATTGCACTCCATAATATTTTAAAAATATATTACGTAAGGAATTATGTAAATAAATAATTATGATTACAATAAGATTATATTCATATGAGACAAGTCTGCAGTAATATTAGTTTCTATTTAATCTGATATTTGATATAGCACCCTTCCAGTTCTTATGACACGTTCTAATTAATAAACATAAAAAAAAATAAAATAAAAAAAAAATCTTAATGTCCCAGGCCTGAGGCCTCATGTATAAAACTCAGGGTTTCTGCAGGATTTTGAAGCTAAAATTTAAGACCTTTTTAAGACCTGCACAAATAAAATTAATACCATATGAGCGGGGTAGGGCAATGTCTATAATACCATATTAAACTGTAAAATTACTGCAAAAAGCGTACGTGCATCTCCATCCCGTATCCTCCCCGAAATCACGCCAGGCCCGTGAAGAGGAATAGGGCCCGGGGCCTCATTTATAGAACTCTCTGTAGATTTCATCCTAAAAGTGTACGTTCGCTCAAAAGCTAGATTTTGCGTTTGGGGAAGAAGTGTGCGTACGTGCATCTCCATCCCGTCTCCTCCCCGAAATCACCATATATGGAGCTTACAACGCCTAGTTTTACTATGCATAACTGCATCTGCATATCATTTCCATGCATATTCCCATCCACGTGACACCATGTTTAACACCGGCAAAGATAAAAGACATTAACGAAATATGAGATACGGACTATAAATGCAATTTTTGCCATACATTCATTTTTATTTCTAAAAATCATCCAATATCCTTGTTATGTTTTAGAATAAATATATCAAGATAAAAACTAAAATAAAAACAAAAACTGTTTAAAATAGTTATCAGATAAATATTTTAGAATAGAGTTGATCTCATTCTTTAACACTGGCCAAATAGTAGCCTATTTCAATTGTTTTAAACAATTCAAATCAAACTCAATTTATGCAGTTTTGCTTATACGGTGAATATATTTTAGCTATTTTGAGTGGAAACAGATAGACCTATTTATTGCAGTGTAAAATTATCTGACTCGGCGCGTCACTAACAACGTATTTTAAAAAGGAAACGTATAAATCTTACCGTTTTCTTCAAGCTGTAGCCTTCAAATACAGCGGTACTTTTCATAATGTTGTAGCGATGACTTCACAGTGAGTGAAGTCAGTTTACAGTAAGATATTATCATTGGACCTATTCAAACTGGATAATGGACCGCTCGACCACTGAATCCAGCAGTGTCCGCCATAATATCGAAGTAAGTGCGCATCATTGATCATTGTTCTCGCT